TGGGAGGGAAAAAGTAATGGATGCTTCCCTACTGATACCAGCAGTAACATATCTCTGTAGATAACTGATTTATTCTGTTTGGGCTTGTTTCAGAATTCTGATCTTCACAACACTTGTGTTCTTTTTAAGAATATCATTTGTTATGGTAGTGATTGGAAACTAATACAGGAATTCACATCAAGGGAAAATTAAAAACTTGGCAGGGATGTGCAGAGAACAATAAAACCCAGTTGGTAATGCATCAACATGGAGGAAACAATGCTCATGATGGTAGATCTGGAATGCCTTATAGAACTTTGAATAATAGAGAGGGCTAGAAGAGTTGCCCTGATATATCTATCTTCACTACAAATTCTCTTATCTTGCCAATTAGTATACTTACTCAAAAGTAGTATTAAAAGGTCTCATGATGGAGCATGACATAAAGCTTGCCAAGTTTCCGGAATTCTTCAAACTTAGAACAGAACAACAGGAACTGTGGTAGACATTATCAGCAGATACATTCTCACAACAAGTCACTGGAGAATAATTGTGTTGCTACTAGAGTCACAGAATTGGGAAATGTCCAGAGAATGATGGAGGAGTCTGTGTACAAAGTCAACATAAACAGAGACAGGACATTAGGACACTGACAGGAAGAACAGTTTAAGGCGGGAAAAACATAGATTTTTCTTGGATTCATAGACTGGCATCAGGTTCATACTCACAATCTCCTTACTCCTAGGAATCTACAGGAAGCCTTTCTTGTTGGCCCTACAAACTTCTCTAGTAAAAGCAGGAGAGAAGATGACCCTGGAGTGTCATTCAGAGATTATGTTTGAAACCTTCATTTTGACTTCACATAGAAAGAAAATAATAAAGGCTTCTTTTGAGCTTTCTGCAGAATCTCATCTTGGGGGATCCCAAGCAAACTTCTCAATAGGCCCTGTGACACCTGACCATGCTGGGACTTACACATGTTATGGTTCTTACAATCACACACCATATGAGTGGTCTGAATTCAGTGACCCTGTTGACATAAAGATCACAGGTAAGTGAGTGTTACCTGCTGCTCATTCTCTCTGTGATACAAAGTAGTTATTCTATATGCTAGAAGTCCTGGGAGGTCATCTGGAAGATGAGCATGGGAAATGTAGAGAAAGGCAGCCTTGGTGAGAATATTACTGACATAAACAAATAAAATGGGGACACAATAAGAGAACATTTGTTATATCATATAGCACAGATACAGAGCGGTCAAGGGAGTCATAACTAGAGGTAAAGAGAAAGGGGCAACTTGGTGAGCTTCATATGAATCAGAGACAATGATGTCCTTCTACTAATGTTCAAAGGCCTCAACAGTTCAGATTTTGTTCACCTTCTACCTCCATAAGACATCTGTCAGAAGACCTAGACACATCATTTGTCTGACTTGAGTTTATGTGTTGGGTAGGGCTGGTTCTTCATTTGTCCTGAGGTCTTGGTGCAGATGACATACATATAATTTTTATGTTGATTAACTTTCTCCCTTTCTTGTGGTTGACTGATTATTCATCCTAGAAAAGCATTACCTTAGGAAATTGAGTAGACCTCCAATCGCTGTCTGTTTTCTACATCTCCAAACTGTTTTCTGTCCATGTTTCAATTATTCAGACATTGCAGGATGGCTGATAAATGCTGCAGGGGTGACCCCTGGGATAAGCTGATACAACTAAAACAGAAACATGGAAGTATATACATACAGTAAGTCAGACAGAGGGACTGAGAGATAGAAATGGCTGAGGAAATAATGAGCATAACATGTGATGGAAGAGAAAACCTGCAAAAAGACTTAATCTTGAATAGAAAATTTGAAAGTGGAAATGGAGAAATAATGGGGGATATTGGAATTTTTAACATACAGCTAGGGAGGCAGATGAAAGGTCACTCTAATAGTACACACACTAAGAGGAACAAGAGAGGGGAGACCATCATGGCCCCTGCTCAAGGGGAACAAACGCATGCATAGAACAGTCTGTGCTT